TTTACCATATTTTGGAAAACTCTCAATATTGGCTTCCAGTCTTACAGGTGTAACTTTGTAAGGAAAGGCTGGTGGTGAAATCAGTATGAGAGATTTAACTTGTGATAGCATAGACAACATTAGGATGTCAGTGTGAGATGAGAAATATTATATGTATGAGAAGAGGGAAAAGCAATGTGAACTCTTAAACAGGCATATCCTATGCACAGGGCTTCTCACTCAAAATGCCAATAATTAAAACAATATTTTTCTGGGACATTGAAATATTTTCCTGTTTATCCTTGTATGGTAGGCACCACTGTGAGTATTAGGGATGAATGTAGGAGAAAGGCCCCTCTTTAACCATATTTGACTGACTGGATTTCTGGATCAGTTTCTCATGCTGAGAACATTACTGTTTTTATTGCTTTCTTACTGATGTCGGTCATATTAAAACCAGATTCTCACCTCATCAGGAAGTAGAGACAGGGCCCTTTGCTATAACAAAGATACACCTAGAGCCTTTCTGGAGGGAGGACATCAGGAGATGGACAGGACACATGTTGATGATCTCAGACCTTTTATTTTTCGGGCACCACTGGAATAGCCCTTGGCACAGCTGTTGCTCCTGGCACTTCCAACATAAGGGAGGCAACAGGGTGACATAGGATTTTCTCATGCCCTCTCACAGGTTAGTTGTCTGCACTGATATTATTCATTGTGGGACTACCACCATGTATATCAGTGATCCTGGAACATTCTTTCATTATCTCTTTTCCACCCTATTTCCCCCAGTGGCCACAACATTCAAAGTGGCACAACTAGAATTGGAATAGACACAGGGGAATGCTGCTAAGCTAACACCTACATTTCATGATAGCCTGCTTAAAGCAATCTTCCAAAAATTTTCAACACTATATATATAAGTTCAGGTTTTTAAAAGATAAGCTAGACTTTTTATTGATACCTTATTGCCTGATCCTACAAGGGCCTTTAGTAGAAAACCATGAGTCTAAGCAATGACAAATAAATCGGTAGTATAAAGAGAGATATTTCTCTCTTCTCGCTATAAAGAGACATGATAGCTGAGAACTCAGTAAAATGGTTACAGAAAAAAAATGTTATGTGAGGCATATAAGGATGAATTCTTATCACTAAAAGTCACAGGGTTATAGTTTGGTATTACATGAAGATGTAAATTTTTATTTAAATCATGTGGTGAAAAAACAATTGAGCTAGGACCACCACTATTTTCTTCTTGTAAGTAATACTGATAAAGTCTCTGGAAAATCTCTTGAACAAGGAAGATATGTCATAGGCAAATCTGAAAATAAAGTAAAAACTTGACATTGGCGGCTTGTAAGATCTATTCTGACAATAGCCAAGTGTGTGCTTTCCCACCACCTAGTCTTACTCCTTCCCTTCTTTTCTCTATCAGAGGCCACTACTTCCACGGAAGGAAGTGGGACTACCCAAGCAGGACTTGTAGGAGGTGAGTTTTATTTTAAACTGATTCTCTGGCTTTTTCAATCAAATCCCTCTTGTGTGGTAGAGTAAACACTTGAGAGGGAAGGTGGGCAAAGGAAATGGGCCTGTATTTCCTCTAGGAACACAGCATGCCAGAGACACAAACTTACATATGCCTGAAAACAATATTCTCATATTTCCCCATCTAAATTGCAAGGCCCAGGCCTACAGAGCTAGTTCTTTCATTGACAGGTATGAGGCCACCCTGTGGCCCTGCTCCTGCCTATCAAGGCCCCAGCCTTTATATATGGTTGAACATTTTCTTATAGTCTTTACTAACATCTGTCACTTTGACTTACCATGTTTGTTGATCATGTTGATCTCCAGTTGCTATAATGTAAGGTACGTTAGGGGAGGGATCTTTGAATATTCTGCTCACTGACATATCCAAATGCCTAAAACATTGTTACACAGAAAAGATGCTTAATAAATATTTGTGTAATAGTGAAATGTGTATTTATTTTGAAGCTCACACTACTTGTGTTAATAGGTACCACAACACTTTCACCTGGAGCCAGCAGCAGTTCACAGAAATCCAAGCCAGGTAGGGACACTAAGTAAATTCACCATATGAGAGTATTAGATTCACGAAGTACTACTATAAACCTTGGAATGTCAAGAACCCTCAGATAATTGATAAATAACTATTACAAAGATGAAAACAGCAGGGGCCCTTCTTTCCCTTTTAGGTACCTCTGTCGCACCAGGGAGTCCTGGGACTGGAACTGAGACAGGTGAGGTGACATAAGGACTCCTTTCACTCTACTGGGACCTATGAGAAAGAGAACTCCAGTAGCAACAATGTTATATAGGTGGTCAGGAGATGAAATTGTGGAAAGTCATTGACAGTTCATGGCCTTCTGAAACAGAGATCCTAAGGAAAGGTCTTCTGGTCATTCAAGGACACACAGCTGCTTCAGTACCAAAGAGGGAGCTAATGCTGTGTTGATGGCTTTATCTTTGTCATTTTTAGGTGCTACACAGGAATTCACTAGGGCAATCATTATATCTCGGGGTCCCCACACAGATAGGTTCACAAGAAGAAATCTCCATATTTAAACCCAATAACATTATGTCTCCACTGATAAAGTATCAACATAATTCTCTTATACCTCATATCCTCACTCCTCACCCTTCACCATTTTCTTCCTTCAGCGGCTACCACATCAACAGAAGGCAGTGGCACATCTGGAACTGGATTCAGAACTGGTGAGAAAGAGTTTCTGCAGTTCGGGGTTTATCATTAATAATGGCTCTTCTTAGCCTGGCCGCTGGGAGGGGTGCTTTCCTGCAGAGTGGTTCTCATTTGCTTCCAGTTCTTCTTAGATTTGCCATATTTTGGAAAACTCTCAATATTGGCTTCTAGTCTTACAAGTGTAACTTTGTAAAGAAAGGCTGGTGGTGAAATCAGTATGAGAGATTAAACTTGTGATGGCATAGACATCACTAGGATGTCAGTGTAAGATGAGAAATATTATGTATCTGAGGAAAGGGAAAAGCAATGTGAAATCAAACAGGCATATCCTATGCGAAGGGGTTATTGCTCAAAATGCCAATTATGATATCAATATTTTTCTGGGACTTTGAACTACTTTTCTGGTTATCCTTGCAGGGTAGGCACCCTGTGAGGATGAGACATGAACCCCTATTTAGGAGAAAGGCCCCTCTTTAACCATATTTGACTGAATGGATTTCTGGGACATTTTCTCAGGCTGAGAATGTTACTCTTTTTATTGCTTTCTTACTGATATTGGTCATAGCAAAAACAGATTCTCGCCTCATCAGGAAGTAGAGACAGGGCCCTTTGCTATAACAAAGATATACCTGGAGCCCTTCTGGAGGGAGGACGTCAGGAGATGGACAGGACACATGTTGAAGATCTCAAACCTTTTGTGTATCGGGCTTTACTGGAATAGCCCTTGACGCAGCTCTTGCTCGTGGCACTTCCTACATAGGGGAGGCAACAGGGTGACATAGGATTTTCTCATGCCCTCTCACGGGTCTGTTTTCTGCACTGATATTATTCATTGTGGGACTACCACCATGTATTTTCAGAGATCCTGAAATATTCTTTAATTACTGCTTTTCCACCCTATTTCCCCTGTGGCCACGACATTCAAAGTGGCACAACTAGAATTGGAATAGACACAGTGGAATGGTGCTGAGCTAACCCCTAATTTTCATAACAACCTTCTTAAAGCAGTCTTCTAAAAATTTTTACACTATTTATATATGTTATGTTGGGAAAATTCAGATTTTAAAAAGATCAGCTGGACATTACATTGCCTCCTTATTGCTTGATCTTGCAAGGGCCTTCAGTAGACAACCATGAGTCTAATCAATGACCAATAAATAGGTAGTATATGGAGAGATATTTCTATGTTCCCTCCAGGAAAAGAGACATGATAATTGAGAACTCAGTAAAGTGGTTATAGAAAAAAATTGTTACATGGGGCACTTTGGATGACTTCTTGGCAGTAAAACTAACAGGGTTATAGTTTGCTATTACATGAAGATGTATGTTTTTATTTAAATCATGTGGTGAAAAAACAATTGAGCTAGGATCACCATCATTTTCTTCTTGTAAGTAATACTGATAAAGTGTCTGGAAAACCTCTGGAACCAGGTAGATATGTCACAGCAAATCTGAAAATACAGTAAAAACTTGACATTGGCAGCTTGTAAGATCTATTCTGACTATAGCCAAGTGTGTGCTTTCCCACCACGTAGTGTTACTCCTTCCCTTCTTTTCTCTATCAGAGGCCACTACTTCCACTGAAGGAAGTGGGACTACCCAAGCAGGACTTGTAGGAGGTGAGTTTTATCTTAAACTGAATCTCTGGGGTTTTGAATCAAATCCCTGTTTGTGTGTAGAATAAACACTTGAGTGGGAAGGTGGGCAAAGGAAATGGGCCTGTATTTCCTCTGGGAACACAGCATGCCAGAGTCACAAACTTAGATGGAATAGCCCTTGACGCAGCTCTTGCTCGTGGCACTTCCTACATAGGGGAGGCAACAGGGTGACATAGGATTTTCTCATGCCCTCTCACAGGTTAGTTGTCTGCACTGATATTATTCATTGTGGGACTACCACCATGTATTTTCAGAGATCCTGAAATATTCTTTAATTACTGCTTTTCCACCCTATTTCCCCTGTGGCCACGACATTCAAAGTGGCACAACTAGAATTGGAATAGACACAGTGGAATGGTGCTGAGCTAACCCCTAATTTTCATAACAACCTTCTTAAAGCAGTCTTCTAAAAATTTTTACACTATTTATATATGTTTTGTTGGGAAAATTCAGATTTTAAAAAGATCAGCTGGACATTACATTGCCTCCTTATTGCTTGATCTTGCAAGGGCCTTCAGTAGACAACCATGAGTCTAATCAATGACCAATAAATAGGTAGTATATGGAGAGATATTTCTATGTTCCCTCCAGGAAAAGAGACATGATAATTGAGAACTCAGTAAAGTGGTTATAGAAAAAAATTGTTACATGGGGCACTTTGGATGACTTCTTGGCAGTAAAACTAACAGGGTTATAGTTTGCTATTACATGAAGATGTATGTTTTTATTTAAATCATGTGGTGAAAAAACAATTGATCTAGGATCACCATCATTTTCTTCTTGTAAGTAATACTGATAAAGTGTCTGGAAAACCTCTGGAACCAGGTAGATATGTCACAGCAAATCTGAAAATACAGTAAAAACTTGACATTGGCAGCTTGTAAGATCTATTCTGACTATAGCCAAGTGTGTGCTTTCCCACCACGTAGTGTTACTCCTTCCCTTCTTTTCTCTATCAGAGGCCACTACTTCCACTGAAGGAAGTGGGACTACCCAAGCAGGACTTGTAGGAGGTGAGTTTTATCTTAAACTGAATCTCTGGGGTTTTGAATCAAATCCCTGTTTGTGTGTAGAATAAACACTTGAGTGGGAAGGTGGGCAAAGGAAATGGGCCTGTATTTCCTCTGGGAACACAGCATGCCAGAGTCACAAACTTAGATTAGCCTGAAAACCATATTCTCATCTTCCCCATCGAGATTGCAAGGCCCAGGCCTACAGAGCTAGTTCTTTGATTGGCAAGTATGCGGCCACCCTGTGTCCCTGCTCCTGCCTATCAAGGCCTCAACCTTTATATATGGTTGGACATTTTGTTATAGCCTTTACTAACATCTGTCACTTTGACTTAATCATGTTTGTGGATCACTGTTGGTCTCCAGCTGCTAGAATGTAAGCTACATTAGGGGAGGGATCTTTGAATATTCTGCTCACTGACATATCCAAACACCTAAAACATTATTACATAGAAAAGATGCTTAATAAATATTTGTGGAGTCATGAAATGTGTATTTATTTTGAAGCTCACACTACTTGCTTTAATAGGTACCACAACACTTTCACCTGGAGCCAGCAGCAGTTCACAGAAAACCAAGCCAGGTAGGGTCACTAAGTAAATTCACCATAGGGGAGTATTAGAGTCACACATTTCTACTTTAAACCTTGCAGTGTCAAAAGCCTTCAGGTAATTGATGATGAACTTTTACAAAGATGAAGCATCATCTGCCTTTTTCTTCCTTTAGGCACCGCTGTCACACCTGGGAGTCCAGGGACTGGAAGTGAAACAGGTGAGTGTGACATAAGACCTCCTTTCTCTTTCCCCGGCATCAATAAGAAAGGAAACTCCAGTAGCAACAATGATCCACAGGTGGGGCAGGGAAGGACATTGTGGATAGTTATGGACAGTTAGTTTTGTTCCCTCAGAAACAGAGATCCTAAGGATAGGTCTTCTGGTCATTCAAGGACACACAGCTACACCGGAGGACAACCATTATACCTGGGAGTTCCCACACAGGTAGGTTAACAAGAAGAAATCTCCATATTTTAAACCATTAAACCATTATTAGGTCTGCTCTGATAAAATATCAAATAACCCTTTTCCTAATATTCCAATTCTTCTGACCTCACCCTGCACTAATTTCTTCCATCAGAGGCCACAATGGTAACAGAAAGCAGTGGCACTTCTGGAAGTGGATTCAGAGGTGGTGAGTAAGAGCTCCTGCAGCTGGGAGTTTAATATTAACTATGACTATTGTTACCCTGGCCTGCTGGGAGGTGTGCTTTCCTGCAGAGTGGATCACACATGCTGCCAGTTCTTAGATGTAACATATTGTGGAAAAGCTCTCAACACTGGCTTCTAGTTGTTCCAGTTGTAACATTCTAATGTTGGGCTGGTGTTAGAATCAATATGAGAAGTTTATCCTGTGATGGCATACACATCACGAAGATGTTAGGAGAAGCTGAGAAATATTATGTATCTGGGAAGGAGCCAAAACAATGAGAACTCTTAAACAGGCCTATTGAGGGAAATTCTCTAGGCCAACTATTATACCTGGGAGTTCCCACACAGGTAGGTTAACAAGAAGAAATCTCCATATTTGAAACCATAATATAGATATTAGGTCTGCTCTGATAAAATATCAAATAACCCTTTTCCTAATATTCCAATTCTTCTGACCTCACCCTGCACTAATTTCTTCCATCAGAGGCCACAATGGTAACAGAAAGCAGTGGCACTTCTGGAAGTGGATTCAGAGGTGGTGAGTAAGAGCTCCTGCAGCTGGGAGTTTAATATTAACTATGACTATTGTTACCCTGGCCTGCTGGGAGGTGTGCTTTCCTGCAGAGTGGATCACACATGCTGCCAGTTCTTAGATGTAACATATTGTGGAAAAGCTCTCAACACTGGCTTCTAGTTGTTCCAGTTGTAACATTCTAATGTTGGGCTGGTGTTAGAATCAATATGAGAAGTTTATCCTGTGATGGCATACACATCACGAAGATGTTAGGAGAAGCTGAGAAATATTATGTATCTGGGAAGGAGCCAAAACAATGAGAACTCTTAAACAGGCCTATTGAGGGAAATTCTCTAGGCCAACTATTATACCTGGGAGTTCCCACACAGATAGGATAACAAGAAGAAATCTTCATATTTAACCCCATACTGTAGTTAGTATTCTTGTTCTGATCTAATATGTCAATAATTTTTTCCCTAATATTCCAAATCCTCTGACCTTACCATTCATCATTTCTTTCTTCAGCTGGCACTCCTGGAACAGGATCCAGACCCGGTGAGAATCAGTACCTCACAGTTGGGGTTTACCATTAATTATGACTCTCCACAAGCTCCCATTTTGGAGGTGTTCTTTCCTGCAGAGTTGTTTGTATTTACTCAGTATTTTCTTTGATTTAACATATTATCAATACACTTTCAATGCCTGCTCATGCCTCACAGCTGTAACTTCCTTACGAATGGCTATTGGTGAAATCCCTGTAAGAGGTTTCCTCTGTGATGGCATATACATCACTAAGATGATAGAAGACCCGAGAATATTCTATATGTGGGTAGAAGAGAAAGCAATGTGAACTCTGAAGCCTATGCTACATATAGGTCCTCTTGCTGAAAAGTGCAATAAGGATAGTCAGTATTTTTTGACACATTCAAACAGTTTTCTGGTTTTCCTCTCACATTAGGTGCCACTGCAATGCCACAAGGCCAAGCAACTGGGAGTGTGACAGGTGAGCCTGGGAGAAACCCAGCTTTCTTCTTCATTTTAAGTGAATGGAACGTCTGTAGAGGGTGCCTTACCTTGGAAATATTGCAATTTTTACTACTTTCTTAGTGATATGGATTATAGGAAAGGTATATTATTGTCAACTCATCAGGAAGTAGTGAAAGGGCCCTTTGATATAACAAAGATACACTTAGATTCCTTCTAGAGGCAGCTATTTAGGAGCTGTATAGGAGTCAGCAAGAGTTGCCGTTGAAGTTCTCAGAACTTTTGTGTTTCAGGCACCACTGGTCCAGCTGTTGGCACAACTGTTGCACCTGGCAGTTCCAACACAAGTAAGTCAACAAAGTGGCAGAGAATCTTTCAGATGATATTTCTCTTCTATTGTTTTCCTGTGTAGCAGAACTACCCTACCTTTCTGTGGTCCTCAAATAAATTTTAATGATCTCTATCCTCTTTTCCTCTATATTGGGGGCCAGCACTTCTGTAGAAGATGGTGGAATAACAAGAGGTTTTTTTTTCCCCTTCTCTTAGAAGCCACAACTTCCACAGGAGGCAGTAAGGCTACACAGGGAAGATTGCCAGGAGGTAAGCTTCTTAGTCCAAAGCCTAGGGCTATCTATCATCCTTTGTCTATTTGGCTTGCTGCAGTGAAAAAATGAATAAGAAGGGGTGTGAGGGAGGGACCTGCCTTGTCTCTGAAGCCATATTGTGTGATATCAACCTGATGATTATTTTGCTTGGGAACTCCAAAACCTCAGATGTCTCAGCCAGTCTGTCCTCAGTGTTCTGGCTTACAGAGAAGTTCTTCTCCGCCGCTCCCCACCCCCTTGGAAAAAAATGATATAAATGTATATTGCCTATATCTCACCCCCCTATTACTTCCAATCCTCCTTACCCCAGTAGCTTGCCAATTTCTATTCCCTCTCTCATTTACTTATACATAATATTTATTGTTTATTTTTTATCTCTCCATACTAGAGAGCTCCATGAAGGCAACTTGCTTATCAAAATGCTCTAAGTTATATAAAATATTATAACTTATAAAGATTAAAACCATACTTTATTTTCTCCTTTACACACTTCTGGCACACCAGGTGCATCTTTCCCTAAAAATGAAATAGGTAAGGGGCATTTAAAAACCTGCTGTGACATTTAATTACCAAATAGTGACAGGGAAACCTGGGAAATAAAATACTGTGAAGTTGCTCATTTTTTATTTTCTTCAGAGAAGAGTATCTTCAGGAAAGGGCTTCCAGTGTTTTAGGGCCACATTGGTGCTGCCAAGATGAACTGTGGAGGAAATACTCCATTGTTCCATTTCCATTTTGCATTTTAGGTACCACTGAAGAGTTTTCTGGAACAACTGTTACATCTGGAGGTTTTAACACAGGTAGGTTAACAAGAAGGAAATACCCCTTATTTAACCTCTCCTTTAGGGCTGCTATAATAAAATACTATTGCAATATCCCTTCCCAGTATTCCAAGTTACCAGACTGTATCATCTTTGCGTGTTGCAGGTACCACTAGGGTAGCTTCTGGCACTACACTTGAACCTGGGAGTTCAAACACAGGTGAGCCAGCAGCTGGAGAGAATTGCCCACCGTACTGTCATTGAGAAAATTATACCCTTACCTTTCGTCAGAATGCTAAATGCTCTTTAGCTCATGTTTGTCTACCTTTCCTTTCTCTTAGAAGCTACAACACTCCCTAGAGGCAGTGGAACCACAGGAAGCAATACAGGTGAGCTCGCAGGCATCCTAAGCTCTCTACTTTTCAATGACATCATAGCTAATACTTTCAAGCACTAACTATTCGACATACACACGTCTCATTATTATTTCTTTTATCCCTCACTCCAAAATGATGAGGTAAGTACGATTCTTTTTACAGATGAAGACATCTGGGGCTCAGAGATATTAACCAACTTTCCCAAGGTCACTCAGCAAATAAACAGCAGATTTCAACTCAGGCAGTCTGGCTCTAAAGGCCATCCTCTTAACCATGATACTATACTACCATTATACAATATCACTAGATTTCCTTATTATATGTCTAAATTTTTCTAGAACATTAAAATTTCTACAGCATCCATACATTACCCAAATAAAAATTCAACAGGCCATCAATTCTGCTTCATTTCTTTTCCTAGGAGAATCTAGTAGCATGGTCACTGGCATTCAAATAGGTAAAGGAAAATACCTTTGTCTATTGAACATTGACCCCAGAGAAAGGAAAATTATCTTTGAGACTATCCAACACCACCCCACATTATACCCTCCAACAAATTTATATTCAGAATGCAACATTAGAAAATGCATAAAATCACTCTGGAACAAGCTATTCCTGAAAGTGGTCTTTTTATATATATAATAAAGAATTTTGTAATTTCCTAATCCTATTCTAGAATATAATCTTCTTATGGGAATGAAATCACACAATGTTGCCATTCAATTTTGCTTTTAGGTTCTACTGGAGTGGCCCCTGGCAGTACCATCTCATCTGGAAGTTCCAACACAGGTGAATCAATGAGGAAACATGTACTATAATTTCTTTCTTGGACTAGCTCTAAAGCAACAGCACATGATGCCTTTTTATTATAGGTTTCCACTAGCCCTCACTACTTCCTTTCACTCTCAGAAGCTACAGTTTCCATAGAAGGAAGCCTAACCAATGAAAGTAGAATTGGCAACTCTTGAGTTCCTGCTAATTCATAGTCTGCCTTTGCCTCTTCATGGGGATATTTGTTAGAGGAAGCGTATACTTATGAAAACCATATTATTTCTTTTGGACAAACCTTATACTATAATTCTTAAAAGAGATGTCCAGAAAGGTTTCTCCTTGTGACATTCAAGCTATTACCCTGGTGTCAGATGGAGGCCATATATGTCCCTATGGTTCTCTTTAGAGAAACAGAGATGATGGAAGTAACTCTGGAAGTTTAGATCTATCTAATTTTGGATTTCAGATAGTGTGAATTTATTCGTTGAGTATAATTAAATACATTTACAAAAATGTTGTTTCTATGTCTTGTTATTAGGAGTCACCACTGGCACATCTGAGAGTTCAAGTCCTGGAAGTAAAACAGGTAAACATGAGAAAGGCCCAGAAACCTTTCATAGTTAATCCTAGGGAAACAATTTATCAAGACTGAACTATAAGCCTATGTATTTATTGTGGCCCTGAATTAAAAAATGGAGAATGCACCTCATTTTAGCAGGATAACCCAAAGAAGGGTCTTCTACTTTTGAGTTACAGTTTTGTTGTTGGTTATGCTCTTCTCAGGATGGTCAATATATCACCATTTGCATTTTCATTTTCTTTCTTCTACTTTAGGAACCACTGGTGTGGTCTCTGGCACAACAGTTGCACCTGGAAGTTCCAACACAGGTAAATCAATAATCAAATAGGGAATATAAGGAGCTTCAGTGAGGAGGTACCCTTCCCGTCCCTGACCCATCAACTCCTCCACCCAAATTCACACATTCCCTTCCATATCCTGGAGATACCACCAAACTTTTCTCAGTTATGGGACTTATTCTTCTCCTTTCTTTCTTTCACTTAGGGGCCACAACTTCTTCGGAAAGTGGTGGAACCACTGAGGGTGAAATGAAAATAGGTAAGCACTAGAAATCAGATAATTATTTTTCTCTTCATCTTAAAGTAAATTACATTGGCTATAATAAACTTAGTGGAAATACTACTCTACCTAAATCTCTCTTCAAGCACAAATTCTCAGTATGTTGGTACTTTATCCCATGTAAATTGCCCTTTTCTTTGTATATTTGTAGTAAAATGGCATAATAGAAATTATGGCATCACTTAAGGCAGGAAAGTGCTGATGTAATCCTCTTAGTTCATTAAGAAACCCAAATTTGTTCAACATTAAATCCTACTTTTAAGCCAAAGGGAATTCACAAATTGATTCTCTCCTCTTGTGATTTCAGTTACCACTGAGGTCACTACTGGCACAACAACTGCACCTGGGAGTTCCAACACAAGTGAGTGATGAAAAAGTTGAAGAGCCACATGATCTTTACAGACCTGGTGTCTGCCATAGGAATGGTACATAAAGTAACGCTATTACAGATTTTTAAAAAAAATTTCTGTATCCCATGCCACTCTCTCCTATTTCTTCTCAGAGACTACAACTTTTACAGAAGTTGAAACTACCACTGGAGTTGGAATGGTAACTGGTAAGTGGTTTGCTCTTTCAGCCTTTTGGTATTCAATAATTTTCTGTTTGAGTTTGTGGTAGATGATAAATGAGTGAGAAGATGGCTGAGATAGGGTTTTGTATTCTATTTGAAGAAACAATATGTCAAATCAATAACACTTGGGCCTTGTTGTCAGACTTATTTTTTTCCATACACCAGCCTTTTAGATGTGAGTTTATGAAGCCAAAAATGATGTATTACTTTCAATCTCTTATTTATCTTGCCTTTGCAGGTACTACTACAGGGTCTGCTGGAGCTTCCAGGGGCCCAGGGAGTCCCAGTCCTGGTTAGTAGATATGTTTAATTCATACTTCTTGGGCTTTTCTTACCTAGGTTAGCTCCCTGGTTTTTCCTAGAGAACATCCTATACATGTAATTCTCTAGACACATTATTTTATTTTTTTACTTTATTCTTTTTTTTTGGTTAAGGAATTCTACAACAATATTAGTAATAGTTATCAGTAGCCAAGAAGGTAGTAGAGATCACTACAATAGATGTTAGTAAATTTGTAAATTAAGGCCTCGATTGAGATGCCTTATCCTTGATCACAAGTTTAGAAGCAATTAAAAAAATTTTTTTTAAAAATTTGTTTGTTTCCTTCCATTGGAGAACAAGAGAGATAAGTCACTGGAAGAAAATCATGTGACTATAAGACAAACATTCCCTAATTTAGTAATTAGGTTCTAGATGATTCTAGATCTAGAGAAATAAAATGTATGAGGAAATTAGGACTTTTACTTCCATATTTTTTTTTGACATGCAAGCATTAGAAAGTGCATTGAACAATATGCATGGCTTAATATTTGGCGCAAGAAAAATTGTTAAACTGCTCTCTATTACTTAAGAGAAACAGGAACACTTGTCAATATCACACTCTTCTTAGGGCAAGAAAACCTTTGTAAGGCGATGAGCCTTACAGGTGCCACTGGGATAGCCTCTAGAATCTAATTACTAAATTAGAGGAGTAGAGGTTAAAATTCAGCCCATATCCCTATAACAAGGTGAAAATTCATGAGGCCTCATCTGCCCAAAGGGATGTTTATTGTAATTCACAGAGGTACCCTATGGATGAGCTGCAACATTGGCCCAGACTTTCATCTGATTTACTTTCTCTCTTATTGTTGATCTTTGAAAAATAGTCATAAGACCTGCATCTGAAATGAAATGTTCTTCATTTGCCTTTGTAGCTACTACTGTAGTATCAAGTGGAAGTACTGGTGGCCCAGAAAGTTCCAGTCCAGGTAATAGAAATGACTGACTGAAATAAAGTTTACATGCTAAACATTCTTCTCCCTTAACACCCAAGTGTTTCAGTTATCCAATATTTATCCCTTTGAATGAGTATCCAACTTGAACTTTAAAAGAAAAATTGTTCCAGGTGGACTTAAATAGGCAAGAAATACTTTATATAAGACTAGAGGCCCGATGCATGAAGATTCATGCAGGAATGGGCCTTCCTTCCCCTGGCTGCCGGCACCGCCTTTGCTCTGGCCGGAGCCTCCTTTCTGCCTTCCCACACTGTCCAGAGGCCCAGAGCAGCTGGGATGGTGTGGAAAGCTTGCATCCGCTTGGGGCCTACGTATGCAAATTAACCCACCATCTTTGTTGGGTTAATTTGCATATGCACTCCTGATTGGCTGGTGGGTGTTGCAGAGGTATGGTCAATTTGCATCTTTCTCTTTTATTAGTGTAGATTATTGCAATAGGAGTCAATACCACTGCAATAAGGGTGAGATTTTGAACTTAACTCTGCTGAAACTAAAGGCAGAAGAGTTTTTTAAGTGTTGGGGTGAAATGGTGGAAAAGTACTGGAGGGCAGGCCATTAGGGGAGAGGTTGGTCTAAATGATTAGGCCATGGATGGTTACTAATTGGTACTTGTAGAATGAAAGTAGGCTCCTACCTTCCCACAGAGACAGGGAGATAAGGGTGCTATTATTCTTGATGATTACATGTCAAGGGGGTGGCTCTCAGGTCTTTGAAAAAGATTCCAGGATTTTAAAACTGGCCAGAGCTGAAGGAATATTTGCATCTCAGAGAAATAACTTATAATTGCAAGTTTTTTTAAAAATAAAGGCTCTAAGAAAAGGGAGTCCAGGGACCTGTAGTCAGGAAGAAGCATGCCTGAAGTTTGATCATGCTGAGGGAAATGTTAAGGCCATCTTAATAAACAGAGATGTTTTCTCATTTTCTCTCACTCTACTATAACTTCTGTCTCCCCAAAACTGCTACAGGATAACCAAGAAACCAAGTTATAGGAAATAAAACAGTCAAGTGTGGAAAAAGTTTTTGTCACTTAGAGAAGGAAATTCAAAAGTGAAATTTACCAGGATCATAGGAAAATATTCATTTCTGTGAGCAAGGAGCTGCTGAGATAGAAACCTCTTATGGTTCAATTGCAGGAGCCTTAGTATATGCATGAGAACATGCCAAGTGCTTTGAGACTTTGTTTCATGTAGAGGTGTCTCAGGACATGCTCTTTTGAGACCAGAAAAAGCTCATTGCTCTTTTGCTGCTCATTTTAGGTACCTCCCAGGAAGCATCTGAAACGACCATTGCTTCTGGAATTTCTACCACGGGTAAGCCAAATAATAATAAACAAACTTTGCTTGGTGGCATCTCAGAAGACAGGATAGGTTACCAGAAGTTAAACTCTATCTTCTCCCGTCCACTGTATGCACCATGTTTGTCCCTCCCTTAGTGGTCACTGCTTCCACAAGAGTCAAGGAAACCTCTGGAACTAGAATGTAACCATATGAATGCTGGCAATACATACTCGTTGCTGAGCAGTGTGCCTGTGATTACATATAAGGAGCTGAGTTTGGGGGAGAGGCGTGGTGGAAAAGAAAAAGGAGAGAGGCTAGGAAGTTATGCTGAATTTCCTTTTGGAATATGACTTTGAAGCTCAACTAGGTGTGTGTGTTTTTCTAGGACTTTTTTGGTTAGGCTTTCACCAGAACTCCTCTCCTAAAGACATAGTTATAAAGCTCTTAGTTTGAAATCTCTGAGTATGAGATTATGAAATATGCTATTCCTGTCAAATGGAATACTAACAAACCCCGAAGTGTCCTAGCCAGATTAAATGAAATGACCCAAATGTACTGGAATGAACTGTCTATTCTACACAAAGTTTTCCTTGAGCATGAATGTGTGTGATCATTTGTACACTCATATACTAGTACACAGAGGCTTGATGTGCATACATGTTATTCTGATAAATAAAATGACAATGCCATCCTCTTATTTCCCCTCAGAAGCCACTGCAGTAGCAACAGGAGATCAAGAAACTAAAAATAAAGCAGGTCAGTATGGGAAAAATCCTAATTTCCTTATTATTCGGGGGAGATTATTATGGGCACCAAAACTATCTTTACAGTATGTTTAATGCTAACCCATAAACAAGTACAGCATTGGCATGCAAGCATTATTTATTTATAGCTAATACTTTAGAGCACTAACTATAAAAAATTATTAATTAATTATAATTATCTATCTATCTATCTCATAATTGTACAGCAATTATGGTCTCAGGAGTGGAGAGTGTTAATACCCATCTATTAGTTGGCACTATTGAGTGAAGGGATCACAAAGGATCTGATTGAGTTTAATATTGGCTAGAGTGAGAAGGGAATTCTACCAAATAGCCCTTGAGAAGACAGAGACATGAAATAACATGAGTGAATTCAGGAGTCAACCAGATATTGGTGATGACTGTGTGAAGTTCAGGGAAGAAATGGTATCGAAAAGGTAAGTAGAGGAAAGTTCATGAAGGACCTTATTTCCAAACTTAAACAAGACTTTAATCCAGTGGTCTCAACCTTGGCTGCACATTAGAATCACCTGGGAATCTTTTTAAAATCCTGATTTCTAGGCCTCATTCGATGAGACCCACTGGTTTAATCCTTACACTAACTGGGATCTCTATTAGACTTTTATTAAGAGAATAATATGATCAGATAGGTGTTTTAGAGAAATTACTCTGATAACAAGGTAGAGATTAGGAGATTGTTCTTTTTTATTATTATTATGAATATCTTCAATGAACTCTTGGAATTCTGGTTCAGGGAAGATTTTTTCTGCTGTATTTATGCCCCATAGATCATTACTCTCTCCTGCTGCTGGTTTCTGTTAACCTGCCAAACTTTTTTAGTTCGGGATTAGCCTTGCCTCCCTCAGTAAAGAGAGACATTTGATCCCCCAAACTCCCACATGTTTAATTTTCTTTCTGTTTTTCTGTACCTATTATTTGTTGGCATCTCTCTACCTTAACATGCAGAAATTTTAACTTCCTCTAAAATATTATCTTGCTTCTAGGCCAGACATTTTACCTGGTAGGTAGAATAAAAGTATTAATCTGATTATTAATTATTTGAAAATAGAATTTTAATTTATCAGGCAATTGTTGGGTTGACTAAAATATGTGATGTGCAAAGCCTCAGAAAGAAACATATGACCAGTTTAAAATATTTGGTTAGGGTAGAGATAGAGCAAGATTGAAGTAGTTCAAGAAGACAAAAAGAAGATAAAAGTTTTTAAAGGATTAAATAAGTTGGTAATTACAAATACATTTCTCAGATATATGAATTATTCTTTTTCTATTTTTTATTAAAAATATTTTTATGGATTTCAGAGAGGAATGGAGAGGGGGAGAGAGATAGAAACATCAATGATGAGAGAGAACCATTGATTGGCTGCCTCCTGCACACCCCCTACGGGGGATTGGTCCACAACTTGGGCATGTGCCCTTGACCGGAATCGAACCTGCAATTCTTCAGTCTTCAGGCCAATGCTCTATCCACTGAGCCAAGCTGGCTAGGGCTTCTTTTTCTTTTTGATTATGTATTTTATTGTCGTATTCATCATAATTGTCTCCCAAGAAAATTTTGAAGAGAAGTTTACCATGATGGCTTATCATTTCTCCTTTAGATTCTCATATGCCTGCCATTAAAATTGGAGATCCAAAGGGAATACTCTCTAATGGTGGAATTTCAAATGCCTCGAGGAGCAGAAAGGGAAAATAGACAGGAATGTGTCTGTTTGTACGGCTAGCCATGTAGCCAATTACTTTCAGTAATAAGATAACTCTACTTACCCCGAAACTATTCTAAGGACTTTAGGGACTAATCTGAGCTGTCTGTTCTTACACAGGCTGTCCAGCACCACTTCCACCACCTCCAGGTAAGAATACCTGCACTTGAAAAGCAATCATTCTGCATTGATGTTTAGATGAGAAACTGGTTTTAAGGGCAAAATAATACAATCTGTTCTGTGCACATTGAGTTTAAGGTTCTTACAGATTGGCCAGCATGCTATTTATTAGACTGAATGAGATCTGGGTCCATCTCACACATGATGTCTGGACTGGAGCTAGAAATTTGAGAGTTATCTACTTAATGTTATAGTGGACACTGTGGAGAGAGGGGAGGTATCAGGGGAAAGACTAGAGAAAGAGCTGATAGAGGAATTTCAGAGTGTTGAATCTGAAAGAAGAATATTTTCAAGATGAGAGTTACAAGTGTTAGCTATTGCAGGGAACTTAAAAATCTGAGAAGGCCCTTGAAACTGGTCATTATAAAGTCTAAATTTCCCCTAAGAGAAATTTAGAATTCTCATTTCCTGGGGTTTCTAAAAAATAGGAAATATATGCTTTTTCGGGACAATTTGCTCAAAGTAGGTGGATATGATTTTTCCACTTAAAGGCACTGTAATCCTCCATAATTCTGTGTCTCTGAAATCGTAGTGCTAATTACACTATTGGCCACCTGGTGGTTATCTACAAATAACAGATGGTTATATTTTGCCAAATTTAATTAGTGTTTATCATTTCATGTTAACAGTTTGCCATGGTCCACTGGGAGAAGAGAAATCAGTAAGTACATAGTTCTTCTTCACTTTAATCCATATTTGCTGTCATTCCTGTATTGGAGTAAAAGTCTAAACTTGGTTTGTTCCTGTAGCCTGGAGACACATGGACTGCTAATTGCCACAGATGCACCTGTACCAATGCTAATGCGGTGGACTGTAAACCCAAGGAGTGCCCTTCTCCCCCCACATGCAAAACTGAAGAGAGGCTTGTAAAGTTCAAAGATAATGACACCTGCTGTGAAATTGGATACTGTGGTGTGTATTCATAATACATTATTTGAATTGAATTGAATTGAATAGTTGTTTACTTACATATCCAAGAGATATTTATTGAGCCGCTAATATGTGCCAAACACTATGCAGGATAGGTGTGATAAATAAAACAGAATCAGTAGTTTCCCTCTTAAAATTTACTATCTTTGTAATGGGGAAACCCAAAATTAACAGCTATGAATATAAGCAGTAGATTAAAGAGTTATGATGATGTTATGGGAAGAACATTATGATTGGCTGATAAATACTATCCGATTTACAATTTCTGTTTTATAAATAGAAATAATTATAATGTTTACTTTAGGATAAAATAATATATTTGTTTTTCAGAACCAAGAACATGTTTATTTAACGATACCAACTATGAGGTAAGGTCGTTTTCTATTTTATCCTATTTTTATCAATATAATTATGAACAAATACAGCCTTTTTCAGCTTATGACATGAAAATTTCATAGTCAACTGTGGGGAGGAATTTTTCCCCCTATTTTCAATTTTCAAAAGGAATGTCAAATGTAACACTCAGCATGGCTCCCTTCAAAGGGAGAAAATATACTTGATCATTAACTACCTAGCATTAGAGCTTCTGAATAATATTTCCCATGGGGCTTGCCAGATGGAGAAGATACACTTTGTAACATTCTAATCAATGAACAGAGTTAAACTGTAATTATAACCAGGAAGATCAGATGGCCAAACTGTCACAGATCAAATAAGAAAACCCCAAAGACTAGAACCCCATTATGTGAATATAGCAGTACAGGGGTGGGTTTTGACAACTGATTTGGCATTTTGGAAAGTAATTTAACTTCTTAGAAAAAGTACCAGGAAGCCATAAAAACCAGATGATTCTCAAAATGACTTTAATATATTTTAACTGATGATACTAAATATTAAAAAATCTGAAATAAAGTATATGTGGTATGTTAGGAAATACATAGAAGCAAAGCCCATGAGAGTTTTAATTTGGTAACTTATTTATCACACTCAATTTTTAGTTTCTTAATTTTTAGTTTCCAAAGGTGACCTGACTTGAGAATTTATGATAGTCTTTAAACATAAAATATGATGATTATTTAAAGAACAAAGAAAACATTTACCTCTATGCATTTATATGCAAAACAATTGAAATAATAAAATTCTAGTTCACCAGAAAATGTATTTTGTAGTTTTAGGCCTTGAAAGAAATGCAATTCCCCAAACTGGTGTTTGAATTTTGAGCATAAATTAATTATAAAGCAATCTAGAGAGCTTTAAAAGTATATGACCTGAACCTGTATACATTTGTTAACCAGTGTCATCCCAATAAATTCAATAAAAAGAAAATAGTATAGAAACACAAGCAAAGACAGAAGATGTTACTTGTCATTTGTGATAAACCTATTTTATGCCCTTCCCCTCCATTTGAATTTCCGATTTGTTTCCCCTTAAACTTAGAGCATAAAAACCGGTCAATTGACTGCTACAAATAAAATAACCTTTCTTGAAAACACTTAAAAACGATAACAGAGTAACTGTATGCAGATCTTAATTTGAGAACCTTGACACATTCTGTGCTATCAATGATTAACTTTGATGGAAGTAGAAGGCTTTCAATCCACCTTTTCTTAAATATTAACCTAATGGCTGAACGTGCCTCTGGAAATTCACTAACCATCATGAATTTTGATTTTTTTTAATACAGGTTTTATTATCAACAGCAAAAAGAAATCAAGGTGACTAATTACTTTGTTCTCTCCCCATTCCCACTCCCCCCCAGATTGGTGCTTTTTTTGATGACCCCAACAACCCATGCGTCTCCTACTTCTGCGACACAACTGGTTTCCGTGCAGTGGTCGAAGACTGCCCCAAGCAGACCTGGTGTGCAGAAGTAAGTCATCTTCTCAAATAGTACAACAGCAAGGTTCACTTCTCATGTTCAATACAAACACAACCTGTCTTCTTTCTCATTTGGAAAAGTTTATATCTGACCAATAGACCTCTTATAGACTTCATTCCAGATTTCTCATTCACCTTTTATTATCATGTGTATTTTTCATATCAAAGATATATTTGCAGGCTCTCTAAAATTTAATCTAGTGCTATTCTAGAAGAAGTTAGTTTCTGTGGAAAGCCTATTGTTATTTTTAAGCAAACAAAAAAAAACCTAGTTTGTTATCAAGGTTTATAGAGTCAGGTTAATAATTTTCTATAAAAATACAAAAATTTCTTGTAACTCCATATGTCTACTGTTCAGAGTTTTCTTAGTGCCACAATCTTTATTTTTATGGTGCTCAAATGTGGTGAGGATTTTGAATTAATAAGTACTTAAATGTAAGTTATTAAGAAAAGTTTAAGCTTATTTTTCTTTCTGAAGATATAATTGATAATATAGTTCAAAGCTTTATTTTAGAACTTTAATATTGGACTTCCACATTTATTGCATTTTTATCCTGAGACATTGATAAGTTTAAGAGAATAATAATGTGTGAGGTAAAAATTCCTGCCTGTGAGAAACTTACAGTGTCTGATAGTAATATCACTGTTAAAGTATTTTTCAATTACAATAGTAAGGGGTGTTTTTTTTATTCCTTTGCATTTTATTTTAAAGAAAATTTCATTTAAGTATTGTTTTTCCCTTTCAACCCACTGTTGCAAAAATTAGTGTAAATACTGTCTCATTTTTATTACTACTGTCTCCCATCCGTGCTCCCTGAAACTGAGCCTGAGGTTTTCATCTGTTCCATTTTCTCCCCTTGAAATAATATTTCAATAAGTTAAAAAATGTTATATTATTTATAGAAAATTTCAGTCTTTTTCTTTTTCTCTCACCCATATAGGCAGACCGAGTCTATGATTCAAAAAAATGTTGCTATAAATGTAAGTAAAATTAAGTTCCACATGTAGAGGCAATATAAACTGTTGAAAAAATTAACTTCTTTAAACAAAATGGCAGATCATTAAAAGAAAGTTTCATGTGTTTTTAACACAATAGGTATTCTAATCTATATGCATAAACTGACAATGGATATTTTCACATAATATACGATAGTTACTTATTCGTGTTGGTTGTAACAAAACTAGTTATGTTTACAAGGAAAAAATAATTTTCATGGAAAGAAATTTAGCTTGCTCTCATCTAACATCAGCAGGTTATGTTGTAAATTGATATATTAAATCATAAGAATGATCAGCAATGAGAAAATAAATAGATACCAAAAATAACCATGCCCCTCTGTCTTCCTTTCCCTCCCCCTTTTCTTTACTCCTTCCTTCTCCCCTTCCTCCTCTTCCTTCTTTCCTCTTCTCCTTCTCCTATGGTAGGAATAATAGCAATAACAATAAGATAACATTTATTGAGTGTTAGTCACTTCTGCTGGGTGCTGACATAGATAATCTCGTCAGTAAAATTGTGAAGTATTTATTATTGTTCTCTAATTATGGTTAAGAAAGCTGAGACTTAGCAATTGTTAATGTTAAATCTTTCTGACTCTCGGATCCATTTTTTTTTTTAGGTAATACCAATTGCAGATCTTCACTTGTCAATGTGACTGTTAAGTACAATGGTTGCAAGAAAAGACTTGAGATGGCAAGATGCGTAGGGGAATGCAAACAGACCATCAAGTGAGTTTTTCTTGGAACATGTACTGTATGTTAATTTTGTAACATTGTTAAGGCATGAGACTTTTAAAACATTATTATATAGGAAAAATATTTAAGATTTTTTATTGGTTGTTAGAGATAGAGGAGAGGGAGAGATAGAAATATTGATGTGAGACTGAAACATTGATTGACTACCTCTTGCATAACCCCTACCTGGGACTGAGCCCACAATCTGGGGGCATGTGCCCTGACCAGGAATTGAACTGGCAACCTTTTGGTGCATAGGATGACACCCAACCAACTGAGCCACACTGGCCTGGGCCATGGAAAACTTTTATATGCTAGCTAATGATCAGAACCTTAATATTTAAAATATTAGAATATGAGAATCCTAATAAGTGATGAATCATTTTGAAGTAGCTTTCTCTATATATCCAATGTAATACATTTATGGCAAATGTATTTATTTTCATACAGTGATTACAGAGAGTACTTAAGCAATTACTCTTGCTAAAAGTGTATTTTTAAACTGTCACATGCATTTTAGATATAACATTTTACATTTTTTCCTTTATGTACACTTACACATGTAAATTAATTTATGAAGAATAATGATTGGGTGTTAAACTGCATATTTTAAAATCATTTTTTTATATTTTTTTGCACCATGAATTTATGAAGAATAATGATTGGGTGTTAAACTGAATATTTTAAAATCATTTTTTTATATTTTTTTGCACCATAATGCTCTAATTATGAGATTATAAATCTCCATTTTGAATTTCTTTTCCTCTTTTTTTTTTTATCTTACTACCACTTATCACTGATCTACATCAGAAACGTATAGCAATACAAGGTGTAGGGAAAAAAATAAATTGGTTGGGAGGCTTGGTAAATCACGTAGACAATTAGAAGTTGAGCATTGATGTCAATTTATTTCCAAAGACATTCCAAAAATATTAATTACTGGATATTTTATTTTTTAGGTACAATTATGATATCTTTCAGTTGGAAAATTCCTGCCTTTGCTGCCGAGAAGAAAACTATGAGTTCAGAGACATCATTCTTGACTGTCCTGGTGGCAAAACCTTGTCTTACAGATACAGGCACATCACAGCATGTTCTTGCTCAGACAAGTGCCATCAATCTTCATCCTCAGCGAGCATGTAATGTTAACATTACCTTTCCAGTTGTAACAGGCGGGTATTTATTTTATAAGTGAACAAAAATCAGCACTCACTTGTGAGAATAATGAAACACTGTATCTCTATGCAAAAGTGAATTCTCATTATGAGGCATTTTGTTCTTTTGTTGACTGAATCTGGAAAAATAAATACAATTTTGCAAGCAATTCATGAGTACATGTATTTATTTTATAGCAATAAGAATTCTTTTTTTATTTTAATATGCTTTATTTCTCAAGATAAACAAGTTCTTTGGGGGATCTTTAATTGCAGTGCTTATCTGTGAATAGGTGGCTCTAGCCAAAGGAATTCTAAGGAGAAACTGAGTCATCTCATGGCTGGTCAATAAGCTCATGTTCTACTCTCCACCTGATGAGGCCATTATCCTGTTTTGTTCTTTCTCTTTGGTTAAACTTACTGAAAATGTAGTCTTTGTTCTCTTTCCTCACTTCTCTATGCCAGTTACATCACCTCTTTCATTCTACTACAACTCCCTCTACTTCGGATGCCAGTGGACTCCTTAAAATTCTTCCTATAGGGGCTGATATCATTTCCACTCTTCCTTGAATCCCATATATATATATATTTCAGAGAGGAAGGGATATATATATATATCTCAATGATGAGAATCATTAATCACCTGCCTCCTGCATGCCCCCTACTGGGGATCAAGCCCTCAACTGGGGCATGTGCCCTTGACTGGACTTGAACCCAGGACCCTTTAGTCTGCAGGCTGATGCTCTATCCACTGAGCCAAACCAGCTAGGGCTTGAATAATTTTTCTTACTGTTTCTGTTACATCATTTTCAATTAATGCTCTACATTTTGTGGACACATTTGTTACCATTGTAATTGGCTAATTATTAATATTAATATAGGAGGAGAGCAAAGGGGAGGCCACACATTATACGCATGGTCTTCTGGATAACTTCACCAGGAAGCTTCAAGTTTCACACTCCCTACAGGGAACCCCGGTCCACTCCCTGCAGATCACTAGGGCAAGGGACCAGACAGAGGGGGAAATGTATGCATGCACAGTGAAGTCAGGATGGCATAGGAAAGGTACTTGCCTGTCAGTCAAACCTGGGAACAAAGATTATTGGGTAGGGGATGAAGCACTGCAGGCATGCAAAGTCTTGGATGGGTAAAATCCCTGAGACAAATAATTCTCTCTCTTGTTCCTCTTGCTTTGAACCTGCTTCCTTGCACTCACTTGTTTGTGACCTACACTAGCCCATCATGTGGCCCTAGAAGCCACATGGGCCATGGCCATGCAAACCCCCATGCAATGCAGCTGGGAACAAGCCAGATGCTGGACCGGACTGTGCAAATATGGAGTGGAAGCTCTGGGCAGTGGCTTTGATCTTAGCCCGGCTGAAGACAATATGGGACTTTTTAAGGCAGAACGGAGGGAGATGGGATCTTGGAAACCCAGGGGTTTCATTCCACAGAAATAAAGCTTTCCATCCCCCCATGGGGCCTCAGGAAATTCTTATTCCCTTGGGACCCCAAGAAGCCCACTTCCATTGGCAATAGGCAGGGACACAGAGGACACCCCACAGATAACACCTTCACTTTTTCCAGTTCTTTAACTCTCAGGTCTCCAAAGTTGCATCCTATTCTTTTTTCCATTTTACTCAGGTTCCTTAGATGATTTCATCAACACAGGTAGATGTGTTTATACACTGAGGATTTCCAATCTATACGTCCAGTCCCAACCTCTTCTCTGAATGACAGACATTGACACAACTTGAAGAGAGGAGAGTGGAATCAGAGAAGTGAAAGAAAAAATGAAAAAAGGATTTATGTAACAATATCAAGAGGACCAATGTACACATTGTAGGCATGCTGGAAAAAGAAGAGAGAGGGGAAGAGGCAGAAAGTTTATTCAACAAAATAATGGCTGAAAATGTCCTCCCTGTTAGGGGAGAAAAAACACTAAGCCCTCTGCCGGCTTGGTCACCCCATGCGGCCTGCTATTTGGTCTTTACTGTTACTGTGATGGCATGCTGGACAATTTGCATATTCCTCTATTATTAGTATAGATTTTAATAGTATTAAATCTGAATCCAATCTGGCATCTAAATCTAACTACCAATTATAAGAACATTAAGTAAATAGGTGAGGAGAATGTAAATATTATGAAGAAAATTATGGACAAAAGCTGTACTTGTTTAAATAAGTTATTCTGATGCTGAGTAGGAATAAGTGCATCTCAAGAAAGAAAAAGAATGTTCATTTTATTTATGTTTCATTATAATTACTTCTTATTCTTTCACTCATTCATTCAATACATTTTATCTGAGCATCTACTATGTGGCCTGCTCTGTAAATATGCCATGAAAATATCCAGCACTAATGAATGGTTACAAGATGTAATCACAAAGGAAATAAAACAGAACATGAAATATGGCACTGTGGCCCATCAGGAGTGGCTCAGCTGGTGAAGCATCAGCCTGTGCACCAAAAGGTTGCCTATTTGATTTCTGGTCAGGGCACATACTTGGGTCTTGGGTTTGATCTCTAGTTGGAGCACCTATGGAAGGTATGGCTTTTATAGTTTATTCTAATTCTAATTTATTTATTTATTTATTTGTTCGTTCATTCATTTGAACTTGGCTGCTATGTGGAGAATTTATTTCAAAAGTCAAACTGAGAATTGGAAAAAAGGGCAAGAGAAGAAACATTTAAATGCCAAACCTACTATTTATATATTATGCATTCATAGGGAATAAAATCATGGCCTATACACCCTTTGGTTTACAGACATGTGTTTTTCAAATTGTTACTCAATATAGTGTTCCTGAATTTAGATTGCAACTGAATTATGGTTGCTTGCAGATAAATATGTAAACTCTAAAATATTCAAACATCTTTGTGTTTTCTCTAAACTCTCAATTTGCATGTATTCATCTTGAAGTCAGCCATGCAACTGATGAATAGGTCATAATTCAACCAGACTCAGTCTGTATGGACTGATTGAGTGGAGAAATGTGGAATAAGGCAGTGGGCATAAATCCTGACATCCTCTCCCCAAGGAAAGTTACTATAAAATGTCTATAACTAAAAACAAAACACTTTAGATTTCCCTAGTTCTATTTTTCTATGAGTTATTTTATTGTCTGACCTGAGCCAATTATAAGACTAGAGGCCCAATGCATGAAATTCATGCAAGAGTGGGCCTTCCTTCCCCTGGCTGCTGGTACTGGCTTCCCTCTGGCACCGGGACCCAGACTGGCTTCCCTCTGGCCTGGCTTTGTCTGGTCTAATTAGCATATTACCCTTTTACTATTATAAATACTGACAAGATTGTTTAATATCTTATGCTGAAAATTGGACTAAGAATTCATTTTCTAAGTTAGACTGATTTAGAAAGGAGAAACTATTTACATAATAAAAATGATGAAAATAATAAACACCCAGAAACATTTTGTTAAGGAGGCTGGATTTGACTCTAGTGTAAAGCAGGATCCAAGTCCATCCCAAATCTCAAATTTGATTAGTAATCAAACTCAGTGATGTGGACAATCAGAACATGACAGGAGGAATTCATTCTTTGTCAGGGCAATACAACAGTTTACTTCCCAGTGTTTTTACTTAAATTTATATAATTTTTAATCTTCAAATAGAGACATTTAAAAGAATTAACCAAATATAGGAAAACAAGTCCTTTCTTTATGACATTCAGCTTTATAAAAGGACAGAAGACCAGCAAATGTACACTTGAAGGACTTTAAAACTATTTTACCTACTGCCTGGACAAGCTAAAAAATTCTCTAGAGTGAGAGTGTGGTAGGTTAATGTATTTCACACTGACCCAGCAAGTAATGTATGCAATATTACTGAGAACTTTGTCTATTGACATAGCAGGGCAAAGAGGACTTCCCCTGCGGTTTACACCTTCAGAACTTTTTCAATATTCTCTGAATCATTGATGTGTATTTCTGCAGAGGTTCTTCTCTCTTCTTACCAGCAACTTGTTTTGTTTAATTAAAAACAAACAGAATGTAGACACTAATAGAAAATTAGCAAGCACTAGTGGTGATTTATAATCCAGGGTCAAATTTAGCCACAATAGTAGCAAAGAAAGAAAGTACATTTCTCATATTAAGAGCAGAATTAGTAGGCAGTTCTCATAAATGACATGCAAATAGTTGAAGAATCAGTGTAAGCTATGTTGATGATTTCCCTCTCAATGTTATCTTTCCCACGATCTTTTATTCTTTTTAATGCAAATTTATTGACTCTTTTTTTTTCTTTTTTGTGCATGCCCTTTCCTGAAGAGTTACTTTATGCTAGGTATTTTTCTCTAGTCACAATATGTGAAGGATTAGACCAGTACATTCTACTTCAGTCTTTTTCTACCTATTTTCTAGTTACCCTGAATAATCATAGTGAAGCATTTACATTTTCTTCAACATACCCTTCTATGTCATCTCTCTGTCATCACTATTTATTTTTTTTTCTTTCTTACTTTGTCCATGTGAGGAATGCTAACTCACCTCCCATTGCCTGCTGGATCACAATCCCTTCTGATGAGAATGCATAAGTCCTGGAAAATAAAATTCTATATATCTAAAGATCCTTCTCCATCTGGACATAGATGAGACATAGATCTGGACATAGATTAGGATTGGTGATGAATACAACTAGCATTGATTGGATTCTCTTTCCTAGGAATTTGGATGTGGTTTACTGAGAGATTGTACAAATCAGCCGTAGACTGTGCAAAACATACCTAGAGGGGCAAAACTTGTGGTGGTCATAGGAATGAAAATTGCTCTGGATGGTTTGGCTCAGTGGCTAGAGCATCACCCTGTGGACTGAAGGGTCCCGGGTTCGATTTCAGTCAAGTGCACATGCCTGGGTTGTGGGCTTGATCCCCAGTAGGGGGTGTGCAGGAGGCAGCTGATCAATGATTCTCTCTTATCATTGTTTCTATCTCCCTCTCCCTTCCTCTCTGAAATCAATAAAAATATATTTTAAAAAAGTGAATATAATTGGTACCAGCAAGCCAGTCACATGAAAAGGGAAATAATGGTAAAGCAGAAACTAAGAATCTTGAAGAAGAGAAGTGAGAATGTAACCCATCTTACCATTCTTTTAACATCCTATATAATAAAAGGCTAATATGCAAATCAACTGAATGGCAGAACAAC